TGATAAAAGTATAAGATTGATTACAAATAGTGGAATTAGCTACATAAAAAAATTTCAAACTTTCCAAACACAATTAAACTAATTGACAAGAAAGATAACTGAAAGTGAAGAGCAGGCTAAATTTTAAATTATGACTATAATTACATACTGCAAATAATTATTTAACTCTAAAACTCCCCCAAAATACTAACTATAGGCAAATGATACCAGTTTTACATCTTCTGTTTTTCTACCACATGAATAAATTTGGCAATTACTGAAATTAAGATGAATATAATTATGTTACTTTCTACTAAAGAATACACTCTTCTTTCACTAATATGTTTATACAACTTCTTAGTTTTACAGTATTATAATTTATCTACTATAAACATTCTTTATCTGATTCAATTTTAATAAGTTATAGTAAGTACCTAGAAGGCAATAACTTCATACATATAAAATAGAGAAGTTAGGCAAATATTTGGGCAAATTAATGTCATGCTAAAGCTAAACGTTATTCTGAAATGCAATGTTAGGAGGGAATGGTGAGCTACACTCCCAACGTAATTTAGTATTGTCCTTGAACTCATTAGCAAATATCATTGTAAAAAACAGAGAACCCTAATTGACATATATGAAGAAATACTGTAGGAATCTAAATTAATTGAAGAGGCAGCTAGACTTCTACAGACACACAGGTAATTTGTAATGGATATTTAAAGGGTATTCATCATGGGGAAAAACCAAAGAAAATGTAAATTGAGCATTCAAGTTCAGTGTTCTGTCTTTTACTCCCATCCCAGTCCGCCTATACTTGAACAACAATTTTTAAAAATTAAAATTAAAAAAAAATTAAAAATTAAAAAATCGAGCATTTGTACATAGGTCAAATCCACAAAAGAACTTTCGTTTGGAGATGTAAAAAAAGATAGAAGAAAATATGTCAATGGAAAACAGATGATTAAATTCTGATAATGTATTTATTAACATTAATGTATAAAACACTTTAGTTTGTTTTACATGAAATGGAGTTTACATTAGTAGAAATTAACCCCTTATAGGTAAAGGGTATTGTTAAAGGCTCTGAACATTAATCTACCTGTAAACTTCAGCTAAAGTTATCTTACCTTTCAATTTAAAATTTGAAATAATTTACATATGTTGAGCATATTATATTTTCTAGAAATATTAAAGTTGGTGTAAAGATAAAAATGTCAAATCACACAAAATTCACTGTACAAAAGACTGATGCACTGAAAAGAAAAAAGGACGCATGTTAGGACTTGGTAATTTAAAACAATCTTTTGTTCAGTCAGTATGATGATTTAGTTGAGGACACATGATTTAAAAAATAAAAATTAAATTAAAACATACAGGAAATCCATAAATTAAAAATTGCTGGACACTGAAACTAAGAATTTAGGTTCTTGTCTCCAGAAACTAAGGAAACCAAATATTTTTTTACGGCTTAATGTTGGATTCAAAACAGAATATAACTCTGCCTGGTGTGGCTCAGTGGTGAGGATTAGCCTGCAAACTAAAGGGTCACCAGTTAGATGCCCGGTCTAGGGCACATGCCTGGGTTGCGGGCTAGGTCCCCAATAGCGGGCGTGTATGAGACAGATACACATTGATGTTTCTCCCCTTCTCTTTCTCTCTCCTTTCCCCTCTCTAAAAGCAAAGAAATAAAATCTTTAAAAACAAAAAGAAAGAAAAAAGACAGGCATAAAAGGCCATACCTTGCCTGCTTAAAAAATAAATATAAATAAATAAAAATATATGCATATATATATGTATAATTTTTTCATAATAGCAATGAGAGCTCTGATAGTCTGTCTCTCCAGCTAATACTAATTAACATCTCTAGAAATAACACACAATAATGACAGAAACAAAAACAGTAACATAACTAAGGCTTCTATAGAATAAACATAATCTTGGAGGAGAACGAAAACTAGTTTCTCCCTTATTATTTTTTCTCAGATGGCTTTGTCTATGGGGCTGGCTCTAGTTGAGGAGCTTCAAATTCATTGTGGAACTAAAGTGTGTTCATAAGTAGAGAGGTACCTTGGAAAGAAGCCAAACACAGGTTGAATATGGAGGCAAAAGCAGAGAGGAGTCAGGGAGGGAGAGCCATCACTGTGTGCATAAAACCACAGAAATCCCAGCCTAAGCTGTGCCATTTGCATGCACAGGACAGATACAGTCTTGCACAGCAAATACTTCAGGAGTCAAATGAGATTTGAATCACTGCTGGCAACACAGAACTTAGGGGTGATTACCTGCTTAAAAACACTTTTTCCAGATGGTTGTCAAATTACCCAGACTCTTCACAACATAATATTTACAGTATTCAGGACAGAATGCAACAGTTCCTGACATTTAATGAGCCAGGAGAATATGACCAATTCCAATGGAAAGGATAATAAACCTATACAACTCCCAAGTTGGCTCTAATATTTCACCTTAAGAATTTTTGAACAGTGTGGTCAAGAAGGAGGCATAGGTAGACATGCTTCGCCTCATTGCATAACCATAAGAAGGAATAAAACTAACTTAAAAAGTAAAAACACCCAGAACTGCCAAAAAATCACCCAGAAAAACACCCAAACCTGTACAGAAGCCCTGCAGCCAAGGGTTTAAAGAAGCTATATGCATCCAGATGAGTAGCAGGGATGGAGATGGGGAGTCCAGGCAGAGAGGACAAGATGTGGCTCAAAAAAATGAGGAGAATTTAAGAAGACTCTGTGATATCTCCAAAAGGGCCCACATCCAAATCATAGGGTTGCCAGAAGGAGAAGAGGAACAGCAAGAAATTGAAAATTTATTTAGAGAGCTTCCCTGATTTGGCAAAGGAAATACACATACAAGTCCAGGTAGCTCAGAGAATCCCAGACAAGTTAGACCCAAAGAGGGCCATACCAAGACACATCATTAGTAAATTGTCAAAGCTTAAAGATAAAGACAGAATCTTATAAGCAGCAAGAAAAAGGCACAGAGTTACCTACAAAGGAGTTCCCATAAGACTGTCAGCTGATTTCTCAAGAGAAACTTTGCAGGCAAGAAGGGCCTGGCAAGAAGTATTCAAAGTGATGAAAAGCACGGACCTACAACCAAGATTGCTCTATCCAGCAAAGCTGTCATTTAGAATGGAAGGACACTTAGCATAATACTCTCCAGTTCCAATACATAGGGCAGGGGAGAGTAATGGTGGAAAAATGGGGACAACTGTAATTGAACAACAGTAACACACACACACACACACACACACACACACACACACACGAATGGAAGGACAGACAAAGTGCTTCCCAGACAGGGTAAAGCTAAAGGAGTTCATCATTTCCAAGCCCTTATTATATGAAATGTTAATGGCTCTTAAAAAAAGATCAAAACTATTAACATTAAACTCTAAACAACTGAATCTAACAAACAAAAACAAAAACAATCTAAGCAAACAACTAGAACAGGAATAAAATCATAGATATGGAGATTATTTGGAGGGTTATCAGCTAGGAGGGAGAATGTGGAAAAAGGCATCGAGATTTAAGGTATATGCTTATGTCACAGTTATAGACTGGGGGATGTTAAGAACAGTATAGGCAATGGGGAAGCCAAAGTATTTACATGCATGACCCAGAGACATGAACTAAGGACAGGGGTCACTGGAGGGAAGTGGAGTACTGGGCAGAATTTGGCAAAGGAGATAATTTGGATAACTGTAATAACATAATCCATAAAACATACTTAAAAGAATGTATAAACAAAGAGATAAGAAAATCTAAGATATACAGAAAAAATGAAAATGATAAAGTTAAAGCCAAAATCAACCAACTAGAAAACAGATATATAATAGAGAATATAAATTAGTAAGGGCAAAAACTAATGTTTGCAAAGAATAGCATTAGTAAATCTTTAGCTAGGGAAGTATTTTCAATAAACAGTGTTAAATGGTTTATGTGTGTGTGTGTGTGTGTGTGTTTGTGTGTGTGTGTGTATGGAAAGATAATATATACAGACTATAAAAAATACACTCAAAATGGATCATTGACTTTAATGCAAAATTGAAATCAACAGAACATTAAAAAGAAAGTTTAGACAAAAATTGCTTTTTAATTTCTTGACAAGCATGGTTTGTGAATATGTAAAATAATATGGATAGTTTGTACCCATTCTCAAGAAAATATTTGCTTTCTAGAGTTCTCAATTAGAAAATGCATCTTGTTTCACAATCAGCATCACCTTCTATTAATATTGTTACCAAAATTATCCCATAAAAACTTTTGTCAATAAGAGTCTCTTATACATTCCCACTGAGGCAGCTATGTCATTTTAAGTATCAGAGAACTTCCTACATTGATGATTTCTGGGTATTTATTGAGGATAATGTTAAATTTCTTCCTTTTTAAAGGATATGTATACTAAATTATTCTAAAATCACATGCAAAGGCTCAAGGGGTTCTGTGTAGGTTCCTTTTACACTGCCCAAATTTCAGTTATAAAATTTTGCATAATTATTTAACAACTCTCTTGGTCATCATCCTCACTTTTAGATAATAGACACTTTTTTAATAAAAATATAAGTATTGACACATTCAACCATTTTAAAAAGTACTGTATCTTATGAGAATGTAAAATAATTAAACACCTTGAATACGAAATGAAAACTTACTTAGAAATCTAAGAAAATATTGACCAATTACTGACCACAAATAATGCACATTAATAATATAGTTGAATTGATATTGTGTTTCGGGTTTAGCGTTGCAAAAAACAAACACAATATTTAGGTATAATAGTACAAAGACCATTAAGTATATACAGCACTGTTCAATGTCCCATAACATCCACTAGATGTCTCCAATAACTGACTTTGAGCAACTACTTTCTTTCTAAAGCTGTGCATTAAATACTGAAACACAAACCACACAGGTATTTTGATCTTCCTGTGACAATTAGTATTTTTCTAAGCAGAAAAAGTAATTTTAACACACATGCAAAATGAAAAAAAAACTTACATTCAATATCCAGGTACATGCTCTTTTGGTGCCCTCCGATTCTGCTTGCAGCTTCACAGTCATACCTCCCAGAATCGGACAACTTCACATCTCGAATGTGCAGAGAAGAGCTTCCACGCTGCCCTTTGACTTCAATACGGCCGTCTGCGCTCTGTTGACGTGGAGTCAGGAAAAAGAGAGGTTTTATGCTTTTGTGTGAAATGAGGACCAGGCACCTGGAGTTTATGATGTGCATGGTAAACAAAATAAGCTTTTACATTTATTTATTTTTTCCAAATGGGAATGTGTCTATATTTATGATTTACATTTACTTGCTTACCCATATTATCTGTCCACTAGCTTAAAGGGAAATTGACATGTGGTAAAAACGTAAACAAAGGTTTTATCAACCTCTTTTATTGAGTATGCTCTTGGTTTTATAAAAAGCTTCCATGTTCTTCCAGGAAAGGTTTTGTTGGCTTCCAATTATGTTCCTTGTGCACATACCAAAATAAGAACAGTGCTTTCCAATTCTGCCTAAAACCTACCAATCGAAATAATATCCATGTATCATATCACTTTAGTTGTATATTTGCTTAGTAAAGAAAATGCATTGAGGTTTATGAAAATTAAAGCCTTAAGGAATTTATAGTTTTTATTCTTAAATAAATACAACAGCACTGTTCATAAGCATAATTAGTACCAGATGCAGATAAATTATTAAAACACAGAACAAACTTATTCTTAGGAAGTCAATGGAAACTATATAAAGATGATTAATTACTTACTCTATGAATATTGACTCAAATAAAGAAAGTGCTTATAATCCAATAGTCTATAGATTATATTTCAAAGAAGAATTCTTGTGTGCAACAAACTTAGCCTACCTAGAATTACTTTCCTAAATCACCTAAATGCTCATTTTATAGTGCACATATTAAACCAGAGATAATTTATTAATTAAATTTTACATCATACCATCAGAAAATATACTGAACTATTAGCATTTTATAATTTATTTGAAATGTACTTTACTATTATTGAACCAATTATTTTCAATATTTGAGGTTTGAGTATCTCATAAATATTTTATGGCATATGTGTATTTTGAAATATGTATGTTGTTATGTAATAATATAATAGTTGTTTAATTTTGTATATGACTGAAGTTCAATTAAGTTTTAACACATTTGTGTACATTGTATTATTAAAAATTGATGTTTAATCATTTTCTTTATTAATATAAGAAAAACTGTTTTAAAGCTCTTTTTCATACATAAAGTTGATTGGGTCATAATATGATTCTTTTTTGCTGTTTAATTTTATATGGGCATTCAATTATTATATAATCATAATTTATTATTATCAAAAAAGTCTTTAAAAATCAAAAAACAAAAACATACTAAGGACACATTATGCAACTTAGGTCAAAATTTCTAGGCCAGGTGCATGTTCCCCACTTGAGCAAGGCTAAAAAAAAAAGTACGTGGCTTTCAAGCAGAAGGACATTCTCTTCTGCCAATTTTTAATACGCCAAGTCCATTTAGTTAATTGAGAGAAAAAAAAGCAAAAATCCACAAAAGTTCAATTCTGAATGAGTAAACCCAAAAGTAAAATGGCCAATTTGTTATACAAGTAACTAAGTTTCAATAATCACTCAGCTATTCTTTGGTCCTTACCTCATTGTGATTTTGTCCATCACCAGACCGTAATGAATCCTCCATCCTTCCTTTTGAACTGACTCCCTTTTAGGGGAGGGCAAAAGGCTTTCGGAAACCCACATTCTGGTTTTCTCTATTTCACATCTTTGGCTACTCTTTGGTCTCAGTCTCAGTCCCCTCTCTCCCTGAAGTCCCCTATATTCTGTCCTGTAGTCTGTTCTCTGTTCTATTAATATTCTCTGCTCAGTCCACATGTACACAGGTGATCTTTCGTCACTCTTTCTCTAGCCAGCATCTCTTGTTCCCTGCAGCTTTGGGACCAGTTATCTCACTTGCAGGACTTGTCCCTTTGGTGTGTAACACAATCTGGCATGTGCAGACTTGAACATATCACCTTCTCACCCACCATCACCTGATTTCTCTGCCTTGTCTTTCTATCCATGAATAATACTAATTGTTTTCAGAGTCCCATGCTATACCTGTTTGGGTTAGTTTCTGAATCTTTATCTAGTTAAATTCTTAATTATGAGAAATCACAATTTATCTTGTTCTACTTTATCATATCCAATTTTCAGCAATTGTGTCTTGTAGACCTATCTGTTTTTTGCTTTTCCCATTTACAGCCTCCATAGTGCTGCTGAGTTGAAATGATATTGACAGGCGTCTCAGGATTTCAGAGAGAACAATCACAATGAGGCTGAATGTGACCGAAAAAGACTCCCTGACTCTGCAAAAGTCATCAACATTATGCGATTTCCTGTGTTTCTCTAGCAAAAAAACCATTCCAGCTGCAGAAATTATTCCTTGTGAAGCTAAGAATATGTTTTTAAAAGGAAACTTTTAATTCTCATAACGACTTTATGAAGGTTTTACATCCTCTGAGCTGCATAATCACAAATAACATTGTATTCCCTTCTGAATAAAGCTTCTGCCCCTCAGCCTGACGTTTAAGGGCTTCCATATGGCATCACTTTGCTGTCTAAGCACACTTTACAATTTGGTTCCCATTAATTTGAATTACTTGTACTGTCATGAATATCCTGTGATTTCCATAAGCATCCTTCACTGAAAACTTGTCTGAAATAATCCCCCATATCTCTTCCACATTGAACTAGCAAGATTCCATCATCATTCCTTTAACTTCTCTGGCCAAAAAAAAAAAAACAATTTATATTCAAAATGGTTCCTGGTTGACTACATTATATAATTATTATATATTTTATACATTTATTCCACATTATAGCTATTGTATATACTTAATCATCTGTTATTTATAATGATTACTTTGAATTTTGCACTTTTCTTGGGACACATTGCCTTTTTCAGTTTTATTGAATATTCACTTGTAGGGTAAAATATTGTGGTTCAATAAGTATGAGAATTTTGTGGTACTTGCTGTGAAAGTCACTTGGACCAGTGCTGAGGACAAAACCATTGTATTTTAATATAATAAAGTAAATGGTGAAGTTATGGTGAAATTTACATATACTTTGAGAAAAGAAAATGTAATAATCTTAAGTTATTATTTGCTATGGGTTAAAACCCAACTTATCATCTTTATTAGAATGTGACAAATTACCATATTAAAAGCAAATTCTTCATTTTTCCATTCAGAAATAATATTATTCTTTTGCAGTATTGAAAGGTAAATTCAACTCCCTTGAAAAGTGAACAGGTTCTCTTGTTGTAAATGATAGGTTTTTAACTTGAAAAAAACTATCATTCTATTAGTAAACAAAAAATGTTGCTATTTAAACATTATTAATTAATCTATAATTAACAGAAATTCTAGAAGAATGGAATTTCTTTAGGAAAAAGTGTGACTCCCCAGGCAATTGTAAGTCATTTTCAGACATGGCGGTGGCTTTATAATAACGCACAACATGCATTAGACTCAAATATTTCCACTAGAAGACCGAAGTCATTGCTGCTCATATTTGACATCTCAAAGGACATCTCTTTGCGCTACAAAAATGCATTACATATTTCTGAAAGAAAATTCATTTATATATTGGCTTTGATTCACCACCTACTAAAATTCATTTATGGCACCTGACATTTTATTGGGACAGGTTAATGGACATGTTAGCTGTCCGTCCAGTATTATCAAGTTTGATCCCACCATTAGTGAGATGATTAAAAAGTAAAGTCTCTGAATATACATGATTATTCCAATTCTTTACAGAGAGGAGCTCTCTGAAATTTGATTTGGGCTATATCCTTTGCTTTTCCAGAAATTCAGTTTAAGAACTGCTTATTTGAACAGTATTTTGATATTTGTATGAAATAACTGCTTATAGGTTACTGTCCTTTCAATCATCCATGAATCAAATAACTGTGATAACTATCTTTTTCAGTTTAGTGCCAATGTGAATAGTTTGTCGTCAATTTAAATTGTTGGACATTTAAATGACATAATGAATCATGCTTACAGGTCACACTATTTTTGTAACCTTACATTACTAGAATGTATTGCCAAATTTAGAATCCAGTTGTAGTACACAACAACATACCTTGCTACTTGAAGTAGCAAGTATACCCAATCTTTCTTCTTCCTTACACTCATTACTTTGACCCTTCTTGAAGTCATTGTCTCCTGTTGGCATTTTTTAAAGAAATGTGGATCATATCACTTAGTTACTCAACAAGTTTTTCATGCAATTATTCCACAGTAAGCATCAAGGAAGGCCCTGGGGATACATGCTGAGCAAAACAGAATAATTTCTACCCTTAGTGGACTTAAAGGGTAACAGAAAAGACACAGATATTAATTTTAAAATATACTACAAATAAAGTGAAAAGCACTGTGTAAGAACAAAACAGTTTCATTTTGGAGGTAAGTGGAGGTGTGAGGTGGAGTCACAGGTACACTCCCTGGTAAACTGAAGTGTGGGTTGAGATTTGAAAAGGGCGAAAGAAAGGTGGTGTTGTACAGAAATGGAGCACATTTCCCCAGAAGGCACAAAAAAAAGAAAGGAGGGAAGCCAGCAGGTGCACAGGTGAGAGAGCATGTGGGATCTCCTGATGCTGGGTGGGTAAATGGAGAATGCTTGCAGAACCCAGGACAAATGCACACACACACACAAATCACACACCTGCATTACATATTCTGTGTGCCTTTTCATAATGACATTAAATCTGTACTGAATGTAAATTAAATTTAATTTCAAATACTTGATGGTGGCATCTAAGAATAACTGCTAAATATGTAAACAAGAAAACAGATGCTCTCTAAAGGTTATGGCATTAATTTGCTCCAATGAAGATCTCAAAAGTGTGTTACTATTGTGTTGCGTCGACTAATTTCTGAATGAATTTTAAATAGAAACATCATTTCTTCCTTATAATATTTATATATTTATTCGTAGCCTCAGTTTCTCTTTCCTCTGAGCTTGATCCCAACTTCCTAATTTTCTTTTTATTTTGATTTCATAAACTGAACTTTTGTATTGGATTGGCCAAAAAGTCTGAATTTTTTTCCCATAAAATAAAAGACACATTTCTCATTTTT